TATTTTATAAAATTATAAACTACTAAATTAAATTTTAAAATGAAAAATTATGAATTATTTATGTTTGAGATAATCTTTTAAGTGACAAATTATATATATGAAAAAAAAATGTAATATGATAACTAACATTATATTAAATAAATATTTCTTAAAAAATTAATAAAATAAAAACTAATGTTAAATATATTAAGTAATTGCAATATTTAGTATTTGTATATTTTTTATTTTTAATAAACAATCTTAAGAAAATAACATGATATTACATATTTTTATTAATTTATAAATAATATATTTTAAAAATCAAAAATATTAATTTAATTTAATTTTAATTTCTTAATTCATTCAAATCAAATTATATTTAATTTTTTTTGTTAAGCTTAGGTGACTTGTAAGGCAAAAATTCAAATCAAACACCCCTATCTATTCTCTTTCGTGTTCTCTTTGATAAAAATAAGATAAATTTTTTTATTTTTTAGATATAATTATTATTATTCTTCAATTGAAATTAAAGATTTATTTTACATTAACTTTAACAACATATTATTGAAGTAAATTTTTATTTTTGATTAAAAAATAACACTAATCATATCTAAAAAATTTTATTTAAATGTTTTTCATAAAAATGTCTATATTCATTTCAAACTTACCTCAATATTTATTAAATGGCTTCTGTGACTTTTTTATAAATGTAGGTATTTATAAATAATTATATATATTTATTAATTTATTATTTTACTAAAAAAATTATAAAATGTTACAAATTAAATTAAATTTACATTTGATGATAATTTTATTAAAATATGATTAATAATTGATATTTATTTTAAAATTTATATTTGATATTTTTTTTTGAAACATTAAAAATAATATAAAATATAAGATAAAATATAAATATTTAAATAATTTTATTTAATAGATATCTACAAATATGAATAATACTATGTCCCATTTATAAACGACAAAAAAAATATTAATTACACTGAGAGGTGGTTGATTTATATATAATAATAATAATAATAATAATAATAATAAACTTATTAATTTGTTCAACCATTACATTAACCTATAAAATGTTTTACGTTTGATTAATATAACGATATTAACAAATATAGTGTATAAAATTTAATTAAAAACTATTTCCTAGATTATGTTTAAAATTAATAAATAATTTTAGAATATATTTAGATGAAGAATTTAAATAAAATAATTTATTTTTAAAAAATTTCAAATATTTTATGAATTAAATTTTTATAATTTTTTTAAAATAATAAAATTTTAAATCCTCTTGAAAAATAAAAATAATTTTTTATATATTTTTTTATATTTCACCTACATATTTTTTATTTATTTCTCTTATCTCTTAATCATTGAATATTAAAATATTATCTTTAAAAAATAATAAATATTGAAAAATACATAGATGACGTATCTAATGTGTGCTACCTGGAAGTCACGAGAATAGAAAGTTAGATGACTTAAAATTTGGGCGGTGAAAGGATATTGCTTATTTTGTTTGGTTAAAAACGTGTTCACTCACGCAACATCCTTCTTTCTTTTCTTTCAATTCTTTGCACAAATTAAATAAATTCTAAACAAAATAAATAAATGTCCTTTCCTAGCAACTTTAACAACTTTAATTTTCTTCTTTTAAATATTGTTTGAACAATGAACAAAGATTATCAAATTCAATATGCCTATCAAATCATCATAATTTTCAGAAAAGAAAAAGAAAAAAAAACTTGTCACCGGCCAAATCTACTCACGATAATTTTGTTCAAATTTTGATCGTATTTATTGAACACCACTTGAACTACTAAAAAAATAAGAAGGTTTGGGAAACACCACGCGTAACGAGTCTTAAAAATGCACAAAAAGTATATATTATAAAAATGATAGATTGAGATAACATCGTGAATTTGTTTGGCACAAATCTCAAATTTAATTGGACTAATAATGTCTTCTTTCCAACAATCCAGAAAATTCCAATGTGATATAAACATAAAATAAATATAATAAATACTTCTACACACTATGACCTTTCCTGAGATTCTGGGAACTTCTCCACTTTGACTCTTTAGGTCGGTTTCTTATAAGTCTTGTCCTTATCAATTCGTCAAAGATTTCTTCAAAATAAAATAAAATAATATATATATATAACAATTTTCGTAAATGTATCGTTACTTTAATTTTTAAAAATAAAATAAAATTAATATTCAATCTGAAAATATTATTTTATTAATAGAATATAAAATAATGTGATATCAAAAAATAATTTTTAAAAGGAAATGATAATTTTTAACTAAAAATTATTAATAATTTTTAACTAAAAATTATTAATAATAAATATTATTAAAAAAGTATAAAAATATTATTCTTATATTTATTTAAATTCTTAAATATTTTTCCATTAATTTAAAAGTTCACTGAAATTTTTAAATGATTAATATGTTAAACATGAGCAAGTGATATGTTGTTGCAAATTTTGATTTAGATGTAGATGATGTTAAAGTTGTGACAAACCATAACCTATAATTTAATGATATAATAATCGGTGAAGATGATATACATGTTGCAAAAGTTAATGAAAATACTTTTTAATGTGCATGACATGTTATGTTTTGCAATTTCATGAAAAAATATTAATTATGTGTCGGTGAAATGTTCTTTATTGGTGAATTTTTTTTTTAATTATTTAGTTAAAATAATTCTTATAAAATCAATTTATTCACATAATTTAAATTTGTAATTGTCTTTAGATATTATTATTATTTTTATTGAAATCACATTATTCAATAATTATGTAACACGTGGCTTGAAATATAAAGATATTAGAGATATCGTATAAAGTGAATGAAAATAATTTCAAATAAGTAAGAAATTTAGAATTAAAGGAAGATAATGTTATCCTTTTAAAAAATAATTTTAATATAAACAAAATGCACATAAAATACTACCAAAAAAAGATACTACTAGCATTTTTTAATCTTAATTATCCTGTAAATCTTTTTCTATCCACGTAAATTAACATAATCATATTCTAACGTTTTCATGTCATTTACTTGTTTAAAGATACAACTTTGCAAAAAAACAACACCCAAAAATTATAAAAGTAAAAATTATGTGAATACTTTACGGTAAGTTTATTTACTAAGTAATTTTTAAAAAAACACTATCAAACAAAGAACATTTAGCTTGCAATTAATATTTTTTTTCAAAAAATAATAAAACATAGCATATCACGGCACATTGAAAAACATACTTCTTAATATTTACTACATTTATATCGATTTATATATCATCTTCACCAATTATTATAACATTTATATGCAAATCATTAATTATCACAATTTAAACATCATCCACATCTAAATTAAAATCTATCATAACATATCACTTTCACCTATTTAATCTATAAATAACAAACATAATAAATAATTTAATTATAAAGGAAATGAAGACTCAAATAAAAACACTTTTCGATCAATAAATTATTATGCATTTATTTTTCTTATGTGCTTTTAATCTATAGCTATAGAAGAAGAATAGACGATTGAGGTAATACTTAAACAAAAAGGTGAATATTAGGAGAGTTAAAGAGAGATGTCACATTTGGAAGTTGCAACCGAGGTGATTAAGATGAATTAAGAAATGTAAACCAAAGAAGAGCAAGATTGATTGAAGCAGTCCCTGCATTAATTTGAAGAAAGCAATGAGTAAGGGAGAAAAAAGAAGAAGAGAGGTTTAAAAAAGTGCTTGGGAGTGATGTCGACATGATTAACACTGGAAATCCACGTGGCTGATCTGTTGTTCCCTCCATAAATATTCGCATAAAACCATTCCTTCCAATTCCCATTCCCATTCGGAGCACACAACTTTGGGAACGTGTCACACAATTCTCGCCTTCTACGAATATGGCATCGCGCGTCAGCATTAACAACATCGCCTCCTCCGCACCGTATATTAATTCCCCTCATTTTCGGCCACCCCCTAATATTCCCAACTCTTCACTGCAAAACGCTGCGCATAAGCTCATGCTCCACAAAACCGTCCTTGTTACCGGCGGAGCCGGTTACATCGGTACCCACACCGTTCTTCAGCTTTTGCTCGGAGGCTTCAGAACCGTCGTCGTCGACAACCTCGACAATTCCTCCGAGCTTGCCATCCGCAGAGTCAGGGAGCTCGCCGGTGAATTTGGGAATAACCTCTCCTTTCACAAGGTGCTCCTTCTGTTGCCTCTTTCGTCCAATTTCGATTCCTTCCCTGCCTTTTTCGTATTCCTCCATTATTTTGCTTCGTGGCTTTTGCTTTTTCTGGATTCATCATTTTCTGGATTTAGGTTTAGATTTTTAATTCGTTTCTGTCAGATTTGTGGAATTTTGGGATTACGGTGACCGGTTAATTAAATTTTACGTGTGTGTTTTACCGTAATCTGATTTGGTGATATGTCGGTTTCGAATTCACCAGAAATTTTCATGATGTACTTGTTAGATTTGGTACTTTTGTTAGGTCCAATTCGGTAATGTTCTAGAGTGTTCTAGTGGTCTCGGTGATGTCTAATTTGTTTCACAATTTTTTTAAACTCAAATTTATATGATTTTTAACTCGTGTGTCCTGGTTTTTAACTCAATTTAGATGATTTATTTTGCGTTGATAATACAGTAAATTGTTTATCTGCTTGGTTGCCGACTATGGTTATGATGTTCACATCACTGCTGATTTTGTATGTGCCTTTTCGAATCTACTGTCATGTCTTCTTTACAAATATTCTTGGCAATAGCAACCATAGATGCCAATTGCTTAATTTTATATCTTGTTGTTTAAGTGAAGTGGAGAATATTTTTAATTAGTTTATTATGGATTTATTTATGGTGATGACCGACGCTTTTTGTTATATTTTTTCTACTGCAGGTGGACCTACGGGACAGAGATGCACTAGAGCAAATTTTTGGTTCGACACAGTAAGGATTACGGCAGAAGCTGCTTTCTTTCTTTTTTGATGCTAAGTAGAGTATGACGGAAGTTTCCGTGATAATAATAAAAAAGATTCATCTGTCGGTGCTTCATGTTCTCTTTGTGCATAATTCATCTTTTCACCTTTTTCCTCACCTCTTTTTCCTTTCTTGCAGGTTTGATGCTGTCATTCACTTTGCTGGACTGAAAGCAGTAGGAGAAAGTGTGCAAAAACCTTTACTATACTACAATAATAACTTGACTGGGACAATCACTCTATTGGAAGTCATGGCTGCCCATGGCTGCAAGAAGGTAAAATCCTTCTTGTTTATTAGTCTTGTATGACAGATCTTAACTGCACTGAAAGAATATCATTAATATTTTCAAACTTGTATGGCACCTGTGACATCTTTTACTTGTTTTTATTTTTTTATAGAGGTCCTTCTTATTGATCAGATACAAATACAACACGTCTATCATTATTTAAATTGATTAAAGTTAGTTCTAACCTCACTTGGGATGAGGTGTCTAAGAAGGTTAGGAAGTTTAAGTATTCTTTAGTGAATCAAAACATTTTGAAGTAAGATATAAAAACTTGGTCGTAGAATGACAGTGTTCCAGAATAGGTAAGAAATAAAAGTGTTTTAAGACCACATAAGAAGGGATAGAACGATGAATGATTGATAAGATGAAAGTGTGACCACATAAGAAAGGATATGATATAGATTGATTGCATATGAGGAGATATTGATGTGACACGTATTGTCAATTGAGGACAAAATAACTAAAAATCGGTTAAAGTGATTTGGACATGTTCTAAAAAGGTTCCCGAGGCATGGTAAAGAAGAGTAGATCACATGGTTTTTAGCCTCGTGAAATGGAGTGGGGATTAAGGACATTGGAGGGAATTATTAAAAAGGCACTCATGGTAATTAATATCCCTGAAAATTAGTATTTTAGTTGAGGTCAGTGGGATCATGTGATCCATATAGTAAAACATCACCAAGTGGTTCTTGTTGTAAGTGAAGTTGTTGACGTCAACAGCCATGGAAGAATATTTTTTTACTAACATATTCATTTAGTTGTGTTAGTGGGAAAGTATTTAGCCTGTAGGATATCATTGTTTATTTACAAATCAACACCTTGAAGAGACTTGTGAGGTTGATTATGCATTTTATTGCGTTGATGCTGCATTCTGCTTATTTCACTGATTTTGTGTTTATTTGAATGATTTCAGCTTGTGTTCTCGTCTTCAGCTACTGTATATGGTTGGCCAAAGGAGGTTCCATGCACAGAAGAGTTCCCTCTGTCAGCAATGAACCCATATGGACGAACCAAGGTATGACTAGGAATGTTTTAGAAGGTGAAACTTGGTTTTGATTTCATTTCTGTGTGTTCGCGCACTGATTTTGGGGTTTTGTACAAATTCTTGTTTATTATTTTGTAATGTTATTATGTTCATTAAGGAAAATCCCTTATCCTCCAAATTCCGTGTAATTTTCTTCTGTCTTTAACAGTATTCTCCTTTTATAAAGAAAAAAACTTGAATCTTGTATCAATTATTTTCTAGGAACCTTTCATTGATATCTGATAAGATGTTTGTCTTTCAGCTTATCATTGAGGAAATTTGTCGTGATGTCCACAGTGCAGAGTCAGATTGGAAAATAATATTATTAAGATACTTCAACCCAGTTGGTGCACACCCTAGTGGTTATATCGGGGAGGATCCTCGTGGAATTCCTAATAATCTCATGCCATTTGTTCAGCAAGTAGCAGTTGGCAGACGGCCTGCACTGACAGTTTTTGGAAATGATTATAATACAACTGATGGCACCGGGGTATGCTCTGAGTTTAACTTGTCCAGTGAAAATTATTCTTGCAAAAGAAAATTGCATGTTGTATTCAATCTTATCCTGTCCAATGTTTCCTTTGGTTTGGAATATTTTTGTTCTTTGCCAGTTTAGGGTTTAGTTCTTTACCAGTTACACTTCATATAAGATGTAGACATGTTTAAATTAGACATCCCCTTTTGAATTCCCCTGAAAATTTCTGCTCAAGCAGTCAAGTAAACTACTTTCCCTTTAGGATATTTTCTGTTGAGTGCATGCTTTTCATAGATCTACTTTTGATGTCTTCACCAAGGATCTTACTGGATGTTTCTTAACATTTTATCAGGTTCGGGATTACATTCATGTAGTTGATTTAGCAGATGGACACATTGCTGCATTGCTTAAACTAGATGAACCTAATATAGGTATTATTCCAAAATTTTCTTTATCTTCTAAGTTCAAATATTTAACTCGTTCTGGTGAATTCTGAAGTGTGACTATGTATGTGTAGAATTTTATTCAATTTTCATGGTGTGTGCTTACAGGTTGTGAGGTTTATAACCTGGGAACAGGAAAGGGAACATCAGTTCTGGAGATGGTTAGATCTTTTGAAAAGGCATCCGGAAAGGTAATAGAATAATGTTTCTTGTTGTGGTCTTGTATCTGTCAAGTGTCAACACATTTCTTGCCGTCAACTTCAGTATCATTTTTTGAAGCATTTGTTGTCCACATTCTGTTTTTCTCCCTTCTCGGCGATGAGACTTTTTAAATTTTGCTGAGAATGTACTCAATGTAGTGCTTCATTTGCTTCCCCAAAGTAGTTATGCGCTGTGTGCTCTCACAGTTTGGTTTAGCATGCTTGGGACCTAAGATATACTTTGATCTATATTGGTTGCTTTAACTTTTAGTTGCGGATATGAAGCTTCTCGAAGTTAAATTGGTTTACCTCAGTTACCACTTTTGCTGCATGGAGTGCTAAATTGGCAAAAAATGTTCTAAAATTCAAATAATTTCCCTGACATTGTTTATATATATATATATATATATATATATATATATATATTATTTTTTTTAATTTTTATCACAGCTTATATTTAGTTTTATTTCATGTTTAGTTTGTTTATATTCCTAAAATCTAGTACATCTTGGACCAAGTAATTTTTATTTGTATTTGGCAATTCTTCGCATGAATAATTAATTCTTAACTGTTTATTTGTGTAGAAAATTCCACTTGTAATGGCTGGCCGTAGACCTGGTGATGCTGAAATAGTTTATGCATCGACAAAGAAAGCGGAAAGAGAGCTTAAATGGAAGTAAGTGTTAATTAGGTTTCAAATGGATAGGTTCCTGACATTTAACTGATCTTTAAGGTTTTGCTTTCTAATTTCTTGTCTGGAATGGACACCATTATGTTGATATTTTTTCTCCTATTAATGAATATCCTGGCCAGATATTAAATGCATATTTTTTTGTAATATATATTTCCATGTACGTCTGTCTCTTTAAATTTGCAAGTATTATAGTATGAAACATTTTCATTTTATCGATTAAATACTGGCGAGGTTTTGTGTAATGAAATACTTTCATGCACTTTTGCCTAATAAAACATTTTTCACGCACTTCTTTCCCTTTTTTTTCTTAAAATTTATCTTACGTTGCAGGGCAAAATATGGCATTGATGAGATGTGCCGTGATCAATGGAATTGGGCTAGCAAAAACCCTTATGGCTATGGAGATCAGGAATCCACCGACTAACTATTAAATTAAATACACTATACAATGCTCTCTTTGGGGTTCTTTCTGAACTCTGCTACACCTAGGTCTTGTGAATTTAGTTTCCCCAAAAGTCTTTAGAGATTTTCAGGTGACGAAGTACTTGTATTATTATGATTTATAGTTACATGGTAAATAAGTAGTGGTTTACTATACTGTAATTTAATTTAAAGGTTCTCTAGGTTCCTTGTTATAGGTTATTGGTTATTAGATTCGGATTCTCTCATGTTTCTCATGAGCAGCGTCCTGTTTTGTAAATCTTAAAGCACATGTTTGTTTAAAGTGTGACTAACATGTATTCTTACCTCATTATTCAGATTATAATTTAATTGTTAGCTTTAGCAATATATAGCATTATATGAAACTCTGAATTAATTATCTCCCGTTTCAATTTGACAATACGCCCAACAATCCAAAAAAATTATTGTTATAATCTCCAAATCTAATTAAAATATAACAGGAAAAAAAGAAGTTGATCAATTCATTTATATAAGGAGTATTCCTATCATATTCTACTATTCTTACCAGCGTGAGACTGGACTGACATTTTAAGGGAGAACATCATTCATACAAAGACAAAGGTTGTGAGCTTTATTGGAGGTTCATATTCCTATCATGCACGATTCCAGATTGAGTAGGAGATGAATATGCGATCTGCAAAATGAGTAGTGATGTGACAGCACAGCACAGCACTTAGTCATTCTAAATTGTGATGAACTTACAGCAGAACCAAAAGCGTAAGAACCAAAAACAACAGAAAGGGTGCTGAGGATAAGAGTAGGTGGTATTGTAGATGCTTCCTTTTGCCCATTTCACTGGAAGTCAACGCCAAGCAGAGGAGTTGCACTACCTTTGGTGTTCATCACACCAGACACTTTGCAGTGTTATAACATGGTCGGTTTATCTATCAACCACTTCTCTTAGGCCCCATTTTCATTAAGATGGTTAATATCAATATATTGTGTTCGTAGAAGGTTGAGGCCAGTATTATTTTCCAGTATAAAAGTCTGAACTACGACTCATTTTACGAATAAAAGTATGAGTCACGTTTGTTAATTGAAGTAATTAGTTATTACTTCCAAAATCCAATCAATTAAAAGTGAGTTAAACATACGATTTAATCGTTATAAATATCTCAGATTCTCAATTTATTCTTCATTTTATACATGTAATGCGATGTATTATTATTATTATTATTTTCTTTTTGTAAATTAATGTAATGCATGAATAATTTTTTTAAATAGAGTTTGAATTTAAAATTATACGTATATTACTTTAACTCTTTTGTGTTATTAACTAGATTTTCATATACAAAGACTAAATTAAAAATATATTACATGAATTGAGACCAAATTTAGGATGTGTCATCATAAATTTGCACAAAAGGTTAAAAAATTTACTAATAAGTCGTTAATTTAAGTAGAATTAGACCCATTTTTTCAGCTAAAAACATAGATTTGAAAATTGTTGATGAATAATAAAAATAATGAATACTTCACCGATATAACATGGTTAAAAAAAGAAAGAAAGTTCTAATGCCTCCTATTATTGTTCTACATGGTTAATTATATGAATCATGCAATATCATTTTTTTAAAACATATAAAATATATTTTTATATTTTAATATTATTATTTTTTAAGTGGCTAACTAATTGTATTATTTACAAATAAAAAATACATCAATGTTTTTTATTTAATTTTGAATTGCATATTAATGGTGAGTTAACCTTAATTAAAAAAAATTATAGGAACAATTTATAAGGTTCATGTTTTATACATTTTTTTTTTGATAAATACACTTTCCATCCTTTTTTTAAAAACTTTTAAAATGTCATTCTAATTAATTTATTTTTTAACTTTTTAAAATTAATCTTTCCTTCTTTTTCTTCTCTCCAATCAAACTTTTCTTAATTATATATATGTATATATATATATATATATATATATATTATTCTAGATTCTTTCTCTCACAATCAAGATAATTATATCCTATTTTTGTATATTTTAAATTCCATCTTTTATTTTCAATTTTGTTGTTCTTTAAATCATAATTTTTCATTCAACAGTAATTTTTTTCCTACATTCAATATAAGATACAAATTAATGTTAAATTACATTTTTTATATATGATTTTTAATTTTTTTTAATATCACTTATGCATAACAAGAAAAACTAGTTGGTCAAATTTTTTTTTTTGCAAGTTATGTACATTGGAAATGTAAAGAATGGACAACACAAGATAGAGATATTTCGTTGAATTTAATTTTTTTTTCATATTTCCGGTAAAAACTTCCTAGAAGTTTATTTTAGTAATTTGAAAAAATGTTTTTAGAATAATAAAATTAATGTTTTGGAAAATATTTTTTTGGATATTAAATTTAATAGTATTTTTTGAAAGTGTGAAAGAGGAGAAAATACTTGGAGAAAAATTCGTATTTGACTTGGTAATTTTGACATTGTCGAGAAAATTATAAATGTTTACAATGCTTTCATACATAAGTTTTATAGTTTGGGTGTGTGATAACTAAAAGAGAAAAAGAAAAGAGTAACAATGTGAAGATTAAAAAGAAAAATATAAAGAAAATAATATAAAAATTAAAACATTATTAAAATAGGTGGAGGTAGGAGGAAAGTAAAGGGAATAACAAAAACAAAAAGATATATATAAAAATTAAAAGGAAAGGGAATCAAATATTTAAAGAGAAAGAAAAAAAATTGGAAAATTCAACGCTAGAAGTATAAAAATAAAATAAAAAATAAAAAATAAAAAATTAATTTTTTTAAGAATTTTGCTTTTTTAAGAAAGGAAAAAGAGTATATATATATATATATATATATATACATATAAAAGATAATATATATATCATGAGCTAGTTTATAATTAAAAAAATTTAGCTGACCAAAATTAAACATTCATAAAATTACATGAATTTTTATAAAAAAGATTTAAAGCTATAAAAAAATCCCTTATGTTTTTATTGCTTGAGGTCCAAAAATCCAAGTCCAATAGTGTAACTTAAAATAAAAAATGTTGACGGACAATCTTGTAAATTCCTGTTCTTCCCTTTCCAAAACCCTAATCCCGCTTAGGTATAAAAGGGAAAGAACCCACTTTCTTCGATTCTCCAGTTTACGGGAGCAGCTCCGAAACACCGAAGGTTCATCCAATCCCCGAATCCGAATCTCTTCAACGCTCAGCAACAATGGTACGTGGATCCTAAAATCAATCTCATACACTTCTCCCTTTTTCAATTGACAATGCACAATTTGATTCTGATAGGGTTTTGTGTTTGTTGTTGTGCAGTCGAAGAGAAAGGTTAGAGAGCCAAAGGAGGAGAACGTGACTCTTGGTCCAGCTGTCAGAGACGGTGAACATGTCTTCGGCGTCGCTCGCATTTTTGCCTCCTTCAACGATACCTTCATTGTCAGTATATGCATCTCTTCAATTTCTTAGTTTCATTTATCAATTGCTCAAATTTTGTTTTTGGTTTTTATGATTGCAGCACGTCACTGATTTGTCTGGGAGGGAAACGCTTGTTCGTATCACTGGTATGAAAATTTTTGGTTATTATTTAGCTGCTATCATGTTTCCACTTTCTAGTAGGTTTTCACGTCTTTACAATGGTGATATTGCAATAGCCCCTACTTAATTTCAGTGGATCTAAAGAGTAAATATATGTTTTTTAATGATCCCCGTTAGCTTTTCTTGTTAATTTTATGTGAAATTCTCATGTTGGCACATGGTACTTAGGTATACCCATGACCCGCGATGGAGGGAGCTTAGTAATTAGGCCTGTTCTTTTGTAAAATTTTCTTTTGCTTTATCTTAATGACTTTCGAGTTTTTCAATTCAGAGGCTGGGGTCAAATTGTGTATTGTCAATCTAATATTATATGCCTTTTAATAAATTTTTGTTGTCTTTGGTTTTTAGTAGATGTAGGAAAACTTCAGTGATTTCCTTCTGTGTTTACTTATAACTTCAGGTGGAATGAAGGTTAAAGCTGACAGAGATGAATCATCTCCTTATGCTGCTATGCTTGCAGCACAGGATGTTGCTGCCAGATGCAAGGTCAGCAGGCTTCTCCTTAACATACTTATTTTTTCTAATACCTTGTTAACTCATGGGATTATCATGTTGCATTCTTCTATATGGTTTGATAGAATTCAATTTTATCCTCTTGGTAGTTCGCCAATATCACTAGTCACTTGTTTGGGTTAGCCATTTCAATGAATTTGTTCTGGAAATTGCTGTAGTAAGTTAGGATGTTATAACATTAATGCAGTGTGTCAAATTATTTTGGGGCAGGAGTTGGGCATAACTGCTCTTCATATCAAGCTCCGTGCCACTGGTGGAAACAAGACAAAGACACCTGGTCCTGGTGCTCAATCAGCTCTTCGAGCTCTTGCTCGTTCAGGAATGAAAATTGGTCGCATAGGTATTTGCCTTTTTAAGAAAACCATAGTTCACTTTACATGCTCTTACCCAAATGACTTGTCCTTTTTTGTGTGTTGTGTATAAATCTCTTATAGGTTTGCTAATTTGGTTTGACATATTAAATTCTGTGTTTATTCTCAAGTGTTTTTTTTTCCTACTTTCATTGTGTTTCCCAGTTTAGTTATCTGATTGATTTAATTGTATTGCATTTGTTTTTAAATGCTAATTAATCTTGTATTTTCCAGAGGATGTGACTCCCATTCCTTCGGATAGCACACGTAGAAAGAGTGGTAGGAGGGGTAGAAGGCTTTAAACTTCTTATGGTATATGGCTGGAGTTGCTGTGTTTTACTCTCCACGCCAAACAGAATTGTGGCATTTTGAAATTTTGTTAGGTTATTTATCAGAATTTCTATTGTATTTCTTGTGGTATTGAACTAAATTTTAGTTAAGTACATTTTGGCATTTTGATAGTTCTGCATTTGCTTCGTGGCTTGCATAGGTGCTAATCATCAACTTGATAAAATGTGCGTAGATTTGGTTTCATTATAGTTTTTTGTAGTTCGAATCTTCCTCACTATTATCTACGTTGAAGTATGGAAATGAAAATGTATGGAAAATTAAATTTTTTTTCCATGAAGTATTTCTATAAATTTGTATATTTTTGAAATTTATTTCCAGAATGTATTAGATGCATTTCAAGATTGACCTTGAGATGGATTGGAACTATTTTTTTTAAATATACCATCCCTACCACTAAAAAGAAACATTACAGAGAAAAAAGGTGGTACAAATAGAATAGGGCTAAATTAAATCGTGTTGGGCCTCTTAGATTAAACAGAGTTTTAAGTATTTAACAGTTTTGTTAAGGATTAATTTTTGTAATCAAATTAATTGATCATTTTCAATAGTCTTTTCTATTAATTACGATTTTTCATCTACAACTTAAGGAGTCCTAGACTCACATTTTTGTAATCATTGGTCTTCCTCCCCCTTCTTTACGAGGAGATGGGCGCAATTTTGCTTGGAGCAATTTATTGGATACATCTGTTACAATGAAGATTGCATATAAACTTTAATTCAATACTCCAATTGTTGCTCCTCATCTGGTTTTTGGTTGCGTTTGGGATTTGGGAGAGTGGGTAAAAAGTTTCTTTGGAGTCCATGCCATCAGGTTTAATTACTAATAATTTCATATTGTGTAGAGGATGTATGACAGCGTCACGATTCCAGTTTACTTGGAAGTTGAAACAATTTTGCATATTAGAGCTAAATTGGGAATGTTTAATATATGTAAACATCAAATTAAGAAGGAACTTTATTAATAAAGACTAAATTAAAAATAGTTAAGTAAGTTAACAATATAGAGACCAAATTAGTATTTAATATTTTTTCGTTCAATAAATAAATTAAAATGAACGGCACTTATATATTTACCTATATTCAGAACTAGATTAATTTTAAAGATTTATCTAGTATTTTATGAACTTATTTGATAATTATTTTATTTCAAAGATTAGTATCGCAAAGCAAAGTGAGTATTTGCTTTAACTATTTAAGGTTGTTCGTTTTATAATTTTTTTTTTGTGAAAAAAGTTTATATATTTTTATTAATTCGTAAAAGAATCTCCTATTAAAAATGGAGACGGAAAGAAACACTGACGCAAGGCAACGAAATTTAAATCGAACATATTTCCCAAAGTCCAACGGTACAATTACTGGTAAGGCGGTGGAACGATAGCCAGGCTATATGAGCCCACCACAAAACAACACTACTTAAAGCGAGAATTCAAATTCACAATCATCGCATGACGCATTCAAATTTGAAAATGGCAAGCTTCAAATGACCCAAACAAATAAATAATTAACAATTTCCATCAACCATATCAAATGATTTTGCTGATAATTCACCCATCGTCAAATTCAACATAACTTCTAACAATTAATTAAAACAGCCACGTTAGTTGTTCCTACTAAATAATAAATATTCATCTCAACAATAATCCAAAAAAATAATTTAATTAATTAATTAACGTTGCATAAGGATTTACCAAAGAATGTTACAAGTTGTAACGGTGGATAGATGTAACAATTAACATACGAGCCATGGTAATGATAAAGACAAAAACCTTGTCCGTGACTCGTGAGAAACGAAAAACTCGCGAGTTGAAGACTGGAGTCAAGCTATAACAACATCAACATCACTCAGTTGCTCTTCCTTACAACACAAATTCCCCTCTCTCAAGTTGAAAGTTGAAATGGAGAACCTAATTTCATTGGTGAACAAAATCCAGAGGGCGTGCACCGCTTTGGGCGACCACGGCGAAGCAAGTGCCTTACCCACTCTCTGGGACTCTCTCCCCGCTATCGCCGTCGTCGGTGGCCAGGTTTTCAAGCTTTCTGTTCAATTCACTTCGTTTTTCCTTTCTCTGCTAACACCTTCTATTCTGATCACGTTTTCTTGTTTTTTCAGAGCTCTGGAAAGTCCTCTGTATTGGAAAGTATCGTCGGCAAGGATTTCTTACCTCGTGGTTCAGGTAATTAACTGCACTCTAATTACTAATTATTCACACGTCTTGGAAAATTCATATCTTATCGTGCATGCATCCCACGTGCAGGGATTGTCACCCGGCGACCCCTTGTTTTGCAGCTTCACAAGATTGACGAAGGTGGCAGAGACTATGCTGAATTTCTTCACCTTCCCAGGAAAAGGTTCACCGATTTCGGTACTTAACTTAACCCTAAACTTTTACTTCTTTTTCAATGATCATTTCATTTCTGTGGTTTAACTTTTCGATTTGCACAGCTGCCGTGAGAAAGGAGATTCAAGATGAAACCGATAGAGAGACTGGACGAACAAAGCAGATTTCAAGTGTCCCCATTCATCTTAGTATATATTCTCCTAATGGTATGTTTGAATTTCAGTTCTCTTTATTTATCTTCTTTTTCAAGTTTCACTCCACTTGATAATCTAAAACCTTGAATGGATCCCATGTAAAGTTGTGGCATGGATTGTTTGGTAATTTTCAACTTACTATTATGATCCCTTGGGCATTTGCAGTTGTTAACTTGACACTCATTGATCTTCCTGGCCTTACAAAGGTAGCTGTCGGTAAGCATCGAATTTTGTGACAAACATGTGGCAATGGTTAGATTTTTTTTGTTATGGAGAATGGAAAGTGACATGCTAACGGATGGTTTTTGCTAAATACAGAGGGTCAACCGGATAGTATTGTCCAAGATATTGAGAATATGGTTCGCTCCTACATTGAGAAGGTAGTGCACTTTCTCTAATAGGAAACTTGTGGAACAAATTTTGCAGGACTGCATATTATTACATTTGCTCCCTGCCTGCCACAATTTGTGTGCTATAGCTTTTCTAGCCATATTTAATTCTTCTGAACTTCATAGGTTTTTCAACACCTGAGGGGCATGCTTATATTGATTTTGGTAAGATGTGATATACTGAATTTGATGTTAATTTGCAGCCAAACTGTATAATTTTAGCTATTACACCTGCCAATCAAGATCTTGCAACATCTGATGCAATTAAAATATCCCGTGAAGTTGATCCCACTGGTAATTGCATCATTCTCTTTTCTGTAGTCTTGATTACTGTTTGTTCTGCAATTTAACGAAGTTCATTGGTTCTATTGGTGTTAGAAAATGTACATTTCACCATGATTCTAATGAATGAGCAATTCAATTGATTAGAACAGCTTGAAGCAAATATTCTATTGGTGTTCTAATTCCATTTTTATTGATTTTAATTTTAAGGGGAAAGGACATTTGGAGTGTTGACAAAGATTGATCTTATGGACAAGGGTACTGATGCAGTTGAAGTAAGTTGATCATTTTTTAGTTATAATACAAAGTCAAAGTATCATTTTGAATTATTGATAAGGAAGATGGATAAAATTTATACTGTTAAAGGTTTCTTGTGTTTTAAGACTTTTTTGCTGGATGGTTAACTCATTTCTAATTAATGACATAAACCTTAAGAACAGGCACCTATTTCACAAGTGCAAAACTTAGCTTCTTGATTCAGCACTGATCCATATTACATATACCTTTTCTTCAGATGTTGGAGGGCAGAGCTTATAGATTAAAATATCCCTGGATCGGTGTTGTCAATAGATCACAAGCAGATATTAACAAGAATGTTGACATGATTGCTGCTAGGCGCAGAGAGCGTGAATATTTTTCTAATACCCCTGAATATAAACACCTTGCTCACAGGATGGGTTCTGAGCATCTAGCGAAGATGCTTTCGAAGGTACAAAAATAACAATTTGTCCTTATATATATATATATGTTTTACATCATTGATAATAATTATCACTACTACTACTATTACTTATTTTATTTTACTTGTTTCTATGACTAAATCTATATATCAGCAATTGGAGGTAGTAATAAAGTCCAAAATTCCGGGCATCCAATCTCTTATTAGTAAGACAATTGCTGAACTTGAAGCTGAACTGAGTCGTCTGGGAAAGCCTATTGCATCTGATGATGGGGTAATTTTGCTCTGCATAGCTAAACCAATCTGAATTATAAATTTCCATAGTATCTGATTATTTTATATGGTCCACTGTTGAAAACGATCATGTATTTTCATCCTCCATTCCAAGTTTCCTACAATTCATCTGTTGATTCTGGTGAACTGATTTATGATAGCTATGGTTATCGAAATATAGTATACCTATAGCACTCCAATTTCAGTGATCCTAATTTAGCATTATATATTTGAATTTGCTAATGATTGATTGCAAATCACATTCAGGGAAAATTGTATGCAATCATGGAAATATGCCGCTCATTTGATCAAATATTCAAAGATCATCTTGATGGCGTGTATGTATTACCTTTTTGTGCATTTATTTTGAATAATTCAGTGCCCTTATTCCTCTTCGTTTATTAATTATCCTTTGCTTCATGCATTTTCTCAAACTAACAACAATAATTTGTTAATCCCCCCTTAGGCGACCCGGAGGTGATAAAATTTATAATGTCTTTGACAATCAACTCCCTGCTGCTTTAAAAAGACTGCAGTTTGATAAGCAGCTTTCGATGGAAAATATAAGGAAACTTATTACAGAAGCTGATGGGTATCAGCCTCATCTAATAGCTCCCGAACAAGGATACCGTCGCCTCATTGAATCTTCTCTAATTACTATCAGGGGTCCAGCTGAAGCAGCTGTTGATGCGGTATGTATAAATTGGAGAAAAATTATATGAAAATTATTGTTATTAAGCATATTTTTCAATTGCCTGTTACAATTAGTCATTTTCCTTTTGTAATTGACACAGGAAAAGTGACTTAATTACTTTTTTTCTTTTTTATTTATTATTATTATTATTTATTATTATTATTTATTATTATTATTATTATTATTATTATTATTATTATTATTATTATTATTATTATTATTATTATTATTATTATTATTATTATTATTATTATTATTATTATTATTATTATTATTATTATTATTATTATTATTATTATTATTATTATTATTATTATTATTATTATTATTATTATTATTATTATTATTATTATTATTATTATTATTATTATTATTATTATTATTATTATTATTATTATTATTATTATTATTATTATTATTATTATTATTATTATTATTATTATTATTATTATTTATTATTATTATTATTATTATTATTATTCAATATTCACAATTATGTGTACCTCCTTTGGATTTGGTCTCCTGTCAAATATTTTACAAACTGTCAAGAAATGGTTTTCATAAAATAATTATAAATATGAATCGAAACTTTGCTATTGATTGTCTCTCCTCTCAATGGAAATTCATTTGTTCCCAAAAGCATTTTTTGAGATCTTGTGTGGTAGAAATCACATGGGGAACTTTCTTTGTTCAAGTTGATAAATTGGCCTCCTAACTGATTAAAAAACCTTGGCCTCAGCTTCCACCTTGTCAGAAGCAGCCTTAAAATGGGGAAACTTACGAAGTTTATATTTTTATTATTGTGTATTTTTGTCATAGTTAATTTGTTTGCTTGTGCAACTTTTCATCTTTGCTGATATTATATTTCATATTTATTAATGTCATTTGAATTGTGTGTTTACAGGTTCATTCCTTATTAAAAGACCTGGTTCACAAAGCTATTAGCGAGACCCTGGTATGTTCCTGACCATACTGAAATTTAGTGTTTCTGTTGTGCTGCTGCTATGTTATGTTTAATATGTTTGGTCCTCCTTGCTTCAATGTCTTCAAGTTTAATGTTATAAAGTTCAGTTTTGTTTGCTCAAGGAATTAAAATATGCATGATTTATGACTGGGTGCTGCCAGTACGTTAATCTCTAACCTCTATATTTATGAACTATGTAAAGCTGCTGAAATTAGAGTCTTGTCAAAAAAGGCTAGTATTTTTATCAAAGACTAATTATTAGCTCAATCTGTTATTCAACAGGAAAAATGCTTATTAATACATTGCCATCATTTTATTTTAAAGAATCAAAACCAATTCAACGTGTAGTCTTAGTTTTCCTGTGACAAGGAACATACACGCTTCTGTTAGGAAGACTTTATATGGTGGGTTTCGTGTGTTGGAATTTCAAAGTAAAAGGAAACAATTCAGCAGTGTGGGGCCAATGATCTGGTTCCTCTCTCTGGTTTTCTTGCTTGCCGATTCTGGAATTTATTGAATTTTAGTTTTTTACACACTTAATCTTGTTTCTATCCTTTAATCCTAAGTTGGTTTGGTTATCAAACAGGACTTGAAGCAATATCCTGGTCTGCGTGTTGAGGTTGGAAATGCAGCCATTGATTCACTAGAAAAAATGAGGGAGGAAAGTAAAAGAGCAACGCTGCAGCTAGTTGACATGGAGTGTGGCTATCTGACAGTTGATTATTTTCGGAAGCTTCCTCAAGATGTTGATAAGGGTGGCAATCCTACACATTCAATTTTTGATAGATATAACGATTCATATCTTAGGCGGATTGGTAAGTTTTACGAAATGCATTTTCTTACTTGGGCTGAGATCATTCTCTCTTATAGTTTAAAATAAGTTTGTCCATTGTCAATATGTTGGAAATGAATTGAACTTCTAACGCTGGGTGTATGTACAAACAGGAACCAATGTTCTGTCTTATGTCACTATGGTCTGTGCAACTCTGCGGCATTCAATTCCCAAGTCAATTGTCTATTGTCAAGTGCGGGAAGCCAAACGTAGCCTACTTGATCACTTCTTCACTGAGCTAGGCAAAATTGAGGTAAGAATAAATCTTGTGTTTCCTAGTTTTATTACGTTTATTTTTGTATTTTGGTCGATTTTCATCAAAATTCCTCTCTGTAGCCCAAGCGTCTATCCTCATTGCTGAATGAGGATCCTGCAATCATGGAAAGACGAAGTGCCCTCGCAAAGAGGCTTGAGTTATACCGGAGTGCACAAGCTGAGATCGATGCAGTTGCTTGGTCTAAGTAGATGTGTATGTCACATCGCGTTAGTGTTAATATTTCAATTGTATTCTTTAATTTATCTCCTCTTTTTGTCGAGCTTTTGCATTGTAGGTATGCAAAACGCATATTATCACAGTCATCTTTTACTAGAATTCTGGTTGTTAAAGGGGAAAAAGAGTTTTCTGGGTGAGATAATTTGAGTGTCTTCATGCCCTTTGTAGATATTTTATTTCTCGTTTTAAAAAGAAATTTCTTGAGAAACTACCCTCAGCAGCATAAAACAAGTTATGCATCAAGATTACTCCCTCGAATAGTCACTTTCTATAATTGTAAATGCATCTAGGGTATTTACTCGAACTTTCGTTATTCAGAGGCATCTGCAGTTAAACGGGATTATCAAAACGAACATGAACGATAAGATAATATACAACACCGACACCGTGCATGATGGGAGGCGGTTAAAGAAAAGAATAATTCGAAATATGTTCTCATGGCATGTTACTAATCCTCATACAGTCATAATTTTTTTTTGTTTGGAAAGAAACAGTCATACTCATTAAAGCTATTATTGTTTTTTTTTAATATATTTTAAAGAATGAAATATATTTATTGATTTAATGTAGGACATGATAATGGATAATCTCGGAATATTTAAAATACTTAATAATGGATAATCTGGGAGTGTACCAAAAAAAAAAATATAGTTTGGGATGTAAATAAGACATAATAAAACTAATAGAGTTAATTTTTTCGGTGTAAAGTTTTTATACTGACAACTAATCATATATTTTAATAGTGACATGTCAGTTGCTTATTTAATAAAATAATAATAAAATAAATAATTTTAAAAAAATATGATTAATTATTAGTATAAATTTTTTTTTACACTAGCAGTGTAAGAATGATTAACTCAAACTAATATATAGTGAATACAAAATATAAATAATAAAAATTAATATATAAAATATGAATAATAAAACTAATATATCGTATATAACTAATAAAACATAAAATATTGTGTATGGAAAAAACGTGATTAATAAAAAGGATTTTACTAAAAGTGAATAAGTTCTATGATAGAAATTAGTCAATAAAATTGACAAATATTTTGCATTAATAATATGATTAAAATAAATATAAGACTTAAATGTGTTAGTAAAGATAACTAAAATTCGTACTATTATAGAAATATTTTGGAAGTGCAATTTTATGAGTGTAAGGCACGATGTTTCATTACGTCCCGGGTTGGGCCCTTATTTAAGCTTTTAATTACAATAATAATAAAATGCATTTGCAGGATATGCTACAAGGACGACGCACGATAAAAAAAAAAAAAGAGAAATATTAGTACATATCTTTGAATAAACAAAATGCATTATCGAATCACAATTTGTCAAAGATAAATTTAACTTTATATATATATATATATATATATATATATATATTTTATAATTTAACTTATTTTACCTTTTAATTTTTATAATTTAAAATATTTTTTTAGTTCTTATATTTATAATTTTTTTAATATTTGTTTAGTCTTTAACGTTAATATTCTTTTTTATCATGTGTGTTTTTTTGTTAATAATAAGATTTTTACTTTGTGAAAATAAAAAAAAATGTTTCAACAACTTTAAAAGAGACACTAACGTTTGAAAGATCTAATTTAAATTGGTAAAATAAATTCGACAAAAGATATAAAGTTAAATTAATATATCTAATATATAAAAAAAAATTTACAAAAAAAATTAACGATAAATACTAAAATGAATAAAAAATTATAAATATAGGAATTTAAAAGATTTATGACTAAAAAATTAAAAATAAAATAAATTAAACTACAAGAATTAAAAATAAGAACATTTTAACCTGAGTAATAAAAAAGGAAAATAGTTTAATTTTGATATAATTCGCTAGAGTTTCAGGAAAGAGTAGAAGTTTCGTTATCTCGTATGTGGTATGCATAATAGGCGTGCGTGTGGACGAATAAGATAGCATTCAATGATTAGTTGATGTTTCGCATCAGAAAGCAACCTCAGACCTCAGTGACTAACTTCCACGTCCACCACTTTAAGGTCAGGCACCCTCTTTCAATTTCATTTGCATTCTCATTCTCTATTTTTTGGATCTCTTCCCTGAATTGATATTTTCTTCAAGGTTCACACTTTACACAGTTACTTCTGCATTAGATCTTTCGTCCTTCAACTTTTATTATTTTTTTGCCCTTTTCTATATGAAAGATAAATCTCAATTTCACAAATATAATTTTACGGCGAATGCCGGAAGCACATTTCTACATGTTTACAAGACAAGATGGTTTTTTACACTAAATTCCTATTGATATTTTGCTTTCACAAGAGTGAGGTTTGAGTCCCCAAACCTTTGTGTTCTTGATTCTTGTTATGGTCAGATCTCAGTTTTATGTTTGCAGGGGCAGTTAGACAAAAGGATTGTGAATTTTCTTGGAGTCAACAAGCAAAAAATTTGTCAGATATTTAAAATTTTTGGGGTTCCATTTTATTTTTTTATTTTTTATTTTTTGTCTTCATTTCTCGTGCAGCTCATGTAGTAAATGTTATAGGTTGGGTTCTAAATTATTCAGGGCAATGATTTTTCAGTTATTGATTAAAACCATAAGAAGTCTTTCTTTCATTTACTATTGATCCAACTTCTTTCCCTTTTAGATCTCTGACTAATTGTGAAGATACTAAGAAGGCAGGCAGGCGGGGAGGGTTAAGGTGTAATGGCCTCTGAGAGGGAGTGTTTTGACCTCTCTGGACCCTTACATCTAACTTATGTTGACTGGTAAGATCTATCATACAAATTTTCATCTTCAATCTTTTTGTTCTTGCATTGCATCATTTCTTCACTGTATGTTGTGTACTTATAACGATTCTTCACCATGTCTCTGATGTGCCATATGGTTATAGTCCCTCTGAGAGTATTCAGTGCAGTATGGTCCATAATAATGTGTTTAAATGAAGATAATAAAATTAAGATTTTAGAGACGCTAATAAGAGAGTTTTTACAAATTAACTTATACATAAACTAATAATTAAGATGATTTTGAACCCTAAAGAGTTGTATGTGTTATTTTTGGTTGTTGGGATTTTGTTAATTGTTAATATAACATAAGATTCTATCATATCCAGGGATAATGCACATCATCGAATGTCAGTTGCTGCTAGTTTGGTCCAAGGTGTTTATGTTCTGGCGAAGGACAGGCAGGAACGACGCCAAGGTCCCAATGCTCTTGCATCGCCTTGGTGGGCATTCTTCCACTTTCAGTTGCTCCGTACGCTTGTTGACGATGTTGATTCTTCCATCTTTGGTGCAATTTATGAGTTCAAGCCTCCATCATCAATGTGCAATGACACCTTACATAGAAGTCCACGTTATGTAATTGCCTTCAGAGGGACTATAACCAGGGGAGACTCGGTTTCCCGTGATATTGAGCTGGATATCCACTTAGTCCGAAATGGACTTCATCAAACTTCACGTTCTGAGATAGCTATCCAAGCTGTTCGGAACATGGTGGCTGCTGCAGGTGGTTCCAATATCTGGTTAGCTGGCCACTCACTGGGATCAGCAATGGCAATGCTCGCTGGGAAAACCATGGCCAAGAATGGTATATTTATTGAGTCTTTTCTTTTCAACCCTCCTTATGTGTCTGCACCAATTGAGAGAATCAAAGATAAGAAATTGAAACACGGGCTTCGATTCGCTGGCAGTGTAGTAACAGCTGGACTTGCCATTGCTATGAAGGCTAAGCAGAAGAAGAGTTTGTCCTTTGATCCATTTGCTGCCTTGTCTGCCTGGGTGCCATGCTTGTTTGTGAATCCTTCTGACCATATCTGCTCCGAGTATGTTGGATACTTTGAACACAGAAGAAAAATGGAAGAGATGGGTGCAGGAAACATTGAAAAGTTGGCAACTCAAACTTCCCTTGGTTGTCTAGTGATGGGTGTGTTGGGGAAGGAATCTGATGAACCCTTGCACCTCCTTCCTTCGGCTTCTCTGACTGTCAATCATACTCCTTCACGGGATTTCAAAGATGCTCATGGGATTCACCAGTGGTGGAAACCTGACTTACGCCTGGAATCCAAGCTCTACAAATACTAAATTCTTATAGTCGTTATTCATTGGTGGATGTATATTAACGATATTGAGCTATGTTGTCTCTGGTTTATCCAAGTGATGCGTGTATGTTTTAAAAGCTGTTGCAAACAAAAGGTGGTCATAGTTCATAAATGGCAAAAAGCATCCTTTCTCCTTTCAAGCTCATAGTTCCTTTAAGCTTTCTTTGTTGTCATATAATCATTGAAGCACTTTAATTATCTAAATATCAAATAACTAATACCTTTTGTAGTAAAATATTCTCTTGCTCTTACTCTTAATTAAAGAGACTGGAGAGTGGAGAACCAACAAGGACTAAACTTTGCACCAGGGAATATCCCTTCTTTACAAATTGGTGCTCGACTTTCTTCCCAAGAAGGCTACGTACGCTATTAAAACATTTCTTTTTAACAAAAAATGCAAACATGATTACGTTAATTTTCACAGAAACAATAATAATACAAGAGACAAATTTATTATTATTGTTGCATTTAGATTTAGATAGTTATTACTGCTACTAAATTGGATGACAAATTAAGCTCCCAACCCTAGGCGAAAGGTGACATCTAATCTGCTGTTACACTAGTTTACAGTCACATAACGCAAAATCAGCAACGAAAACCTAAGACGGTTCCGTCGGTGACGGCGACGGCGACCCTGCATTGAGCTTTGGCCTCCACGTGGTGGCTGAAGAGGTGCAACACCCTCACGCGCCCCGCCATGGCTATTCTGGATACGATCTCCATCACATTACCAGGCCCGAGGCCCAAGGGGAAGGACTGGACGGTGAAGGTGGCGGCCATGTACTGAGTCCTGGCGGCGTGGATCTTGCCGGCGGGAACGAACATGAATCCGACCTGTCTCCCGTAGTAGAGAAGCTGGAGCGAGCTGTCGTAGTGGGAGAAGGTGCCTCGGTTGGGGTTCCGAACGGAGGCGTACTGCGAGAACGTGAAGTTGACGGTGCCGTTGGTGACGGAGAAGGATGGGATCTGGACGGCGCTGACGGCGATTTTGGGGTCCTGCGGCTTGAACAGCGTGAAGTAGAGGATGAAGAGGATGATGAGAAGGAAGAGTAGGAAAACGGTGGCCACGAAACACGAGGCTAGGTTGGTGCGGTTCTCCGCCTTCGCCATGCCTCCACAATGTGAATGTGAATATGTGATGATGTGAGGAGCAGTCACATGCTCTCAACTCTCAACTCTCAACTCTCAACTCTCAAGAGGTGGGTAGGACCCTAGCTACGACTACTTTTTTTTTGTTTTTTCCCTTCAATAGTACAATTTTATTTACCTGTCATTTTTTGTCTTTATTACGTGCTGGAATTTTAAATTTAATGATCTGTGATGGTTGACAAAAACAAATATAGCATAACAAATAATGAATATGCAATTAGTAAGGTTGTTTGAATTATTTATTTTTATTTAACGAGTAAAATGACATCCATATGTACACATGAGATCCATCTCCTGACGTAAAACCTATAAACATGTTATTGAGACCCTTTTAATGTTTAATGTGAGAGACGTGGAAGAGTATCAGACCTAGAACACCCCTTAGCCACATCCCTGTTTTAAACAACCTGCAGTCCATCCAAATATGGACTGTATATAGTATTTTTCATTCCATACATACAAACATTTATTATTGTTATTATTATTATAGAAACATCAACCCGAAGGAGTCTATTTTGAAAGCTTATCAAGGTGGGAATCCATGATCTTTGAGACAAATTCAAGATACATAAATTCCCCCATTCCAGGTAGCAATGATTCCTGGGCTTCGCAAATAATCTCCTCGATTACAGATTCCTTGTTCAAATTTTCCCT